GCGGCTTTGCCGTACATTTTTGCTCCATATAAAAAATACCCTATACATCAAAACAGAGTATCTACTTAATATCCATTCTGGCACGTTCACTGTCTATTTCGGATGGCTAAAGTTCCTTCAAAACCCTGAAAGCAACAGCGGCCAGAGCAGCCCCAGTGCAGCGAACGACAATTTGTTATGCGCAGTATCGTTGCGCAGTAGTTTCACTGACGTCATCCATGTGATATACCCATGTAATATCCACTTGGCGGGCAATATACCATGTAATATCCATTTTTATTCCATGTCACGTGACCGAGTCTCAACCAATCACAGCATGCGTAACAGCAGTGAGATGTGATAAAATATTATAATAAAAATAAGGATAAAATAAAGGTTGGGTTAAAAAAAGAAATGTTAAAAAAAATACCAGGATAAATACAATTAAAATAAAAAACGATCTAAATTAGTACCCCTCCAACCAATCACCCTCCCATGACGTGAATAACAATTGTTATTTTGTCTAAATATTTTTTTTTAATTTTGACAGTGGTATTGTATTGATTCTAGAGAAGATGTATGTGTTATTATTTGTATTTTTAGTATCTTTATTGCACTTTTAGAATAGTACCTGTCTTCCTTTATTTGAAAATAAGATGTTTTTCGTGATCTATCTCATTTTCATTACACCTTGTACATATTATCTTCTCCATTTGTATTTTTATGTTGTTCTTTTGCCTAAACCAATTCCTCAATTGTGAACGAAATTTTGACAGACATCGCCTCCGAGTGAATTAGTAGTTACTGTCAAGTAATTTTTTCCATTTCAATTTTTTTAAAAAATACTATAGGTTTTAATTTGTTACCGTTCCAGTTGTGCCTCTGCTATGTCTAATTTGTTTTCTTTATGTCTGTTTATGTATCTGCCAGCTGTGAGTGTAATTCCTCTCTTTTCTATTGTTTCTTCATCTTCGCCAAGTTTACATGTATATTTAATCCGGTTTGTTTTCTTTATTTTTTTCTGATTCTTTTAATGCATCCTGAAGGATGTGACATTCTGGTGGAGATTTCAATCTGCAAGTATTTATTTGTGGCACTGTCTGCTTTAATTTTGACAGGGAACCTGCTAAGTTCACCCCCTTACACCTAGTGTAGGTGTCGTTTATTTGCGCCAAGAATAAAACGATAAAAAGGTTACAGACCTGTTCCAAGATATTGTTGTCATTTAATAAATCACAGGCCCGTATTTCTGAACTGTACATCACCTTTGGCGATATAAGTTCGTTAAACATTTTAATACATATAGTTGGTAATATCATTTTAGTATATTATTATTATTATTATTATTATTATTATTATTATTATTATTATTATTATACGTGTTTTGTTTAGATGCAATTATACTCTTTATTCAATTTCATTTACCAAAAACAGGGCGCCATCTACGTCTGACATTCAGCTCGAGCGACCTCAGAAGGTCATAGTGCAGGAAATTCCGCGTAATACACTGACATCATTTTTTCTTCGAATTTGATCATCATCTCTGCATTTTAAAAATTCCCAATACTATCACCGCATAAGCAGGGAAAATGGCAAGAAAGAAGGACAACTCGTACCTTGCTATTAAGTTTCCACCGACAACCGATGAGTCGGAAGACGATATCGCTAGGGAATTAGTCCGTGTATTGTGTACGTACCGGGGACGCATGACAGTGAATTCAATAACGGCAGCTCTTGGACCGCAACGATGTCAGCGATACTTTGCCGGATCGAGTCCGGAGATACTACTGTCTAAGTACCCTCAACTGTTCAAGTTAGAAGGGCAGCAACATGCAACGAATGTAACCTTGACAACTAACGTGCGTATATGTCCAACGTACGGAACAAAGGGAGGGTGTAATTTTGGACATGAATGTCAAAATCTACACGTCTGCAAATTCTACTCGGAGGGTAAATGTCGGTTTGTAGGTGCTGGGAGTCTGGCTGGCCCGAAAGCGAAAATGTGTCTATATTCTCACAACTACCA